CTTGGGGTGTTTGTTGGCTATTTCGTTTGTTTTGCTGGTTTGGGTTTGTTGGCTGTTTCCTTTTGGCTGTGTTATTCGTTAATTGTTGCGCTTTGATTTAGTTCTCGGTTTAGTTTGCTTAATTAGGCTCTTTATTATGGTTACAATTCTCTTATATTATTATGTTCCTCTGTTACTTTTGTTATATTATTTTCTTGGTTTTGCAGTTGTTATCGGTTGGTTGTTTGTTGTTGTTTGTTGCAGTGGTTGTAATTGTTGCTGTTATTGCTGTAGTTGTTGTTGCGGTGTTTGTAGTTGTATTCCAAATTTTGTTGTGAATTTTGTTTGTTAAATTTTGAGAAACTAACTAAAAATCACTTTTTGTTTTTTCATACAACTGAAATTTAACTTTATTTGTTTTACTATTTTCTTTAGTTGTTGTTGTAGTTGATGTTGTAGATTTTTGTCGTAAAATTGGTTGCATGAAATTATATTCAAATTATTCAGTTATTTATAAGAAGGCTTGAAATAAAAAGTTAACTGATGGCAAATAAGTTATTATCGTTGTCGCTTTTTATGTTATTACATTTGTATTATAGTATGAACTTCGTTCCCCTTCCGTTTGTATTATACTGACGTTATTATAGTGGTTATTATTATTTGTTTAAACAAAACAATATTTCAGTAAGTATCAACAACGTTTTAACGTAATGTTTAAAAATGTTCCAAACAGTCAAAAAGCACCTGCAAAAGAGAAAGACATCCGATTAGTGACTTTGTGAGTGAGGTCGACCAACGTTTTCGGCACTTTTCAATAGCTCCGAAAACTGCCAGCGACACACAAATGTACATATATGAAGAAAATGCAGTCAATTATATTGTAGTGCGGCCAAAGAAAACTTAGTTCATCGGGTCCCTGGGGTCTAGGTTCTGGGTTTCCTCCCCCCGACTTATCGCGCTTCCTGTTGCCTAAACAAAATCAACACATGGCACAGATCCACACAGATACACACTCCCACCCGCAGACAAGGGGAAACAACCGCAGACACATGGCACCCACAACCACCCACTATTCTTCTATTCCTAACCCTAGACACCAGTGTTTTGTATACGACACGGACACGCATTGTCTAAACACCGGAGAGGACTCGAAGAGAGCCGCGCGGAGAGAACCAGAGAGTGGGCGCAAGGACAATGCCGGAAAGCTGGGAAACATGGTAAAGCGAGCAAAAAAAATTTCAAGTTCAAAACGCCGCCAGTTGATGGTTCCGATTGCGTTAGCCCCCAAAGGGAGGGTTTTTCGTTCTCCGTGGGGGCAGAAAACAAAGCCAGCCCCATCCAAAGCAAAACAGCGATACTATCTAATGCAGACAACTGAAGTCGAAAAGCTGCGGCATCGGCCGCGAAGTACAAGTTGGGCGACGGCGACTGCACTTCGGCGGGCAGATTTATGGACAGCGATACAACTCACACAAGCGCACCGAGTCACAGATACTTTTTGCCGTGGAACACAACGGGTAGGTGAATCAACCGCCGGCACCGCCAATTCCATTCGCCAAACACTAAACACAAAAGTTCCGAATAGTTGAACAGAAATTGTTGAACCGCATCGGGGAGAGTCAATATCCGTAGATGCGGCAGATAGCCCGCTCTGCTTTTGGGCTGGGCAAACTGTAGTCTCTATAGGGGGTGTTGCAACAGATTTGCCAGGTTATAAGCAACTTTCGAAGTGCTTCCCCTGAAGTTGAAATATCTGGTAAATACTCGATATGATCATTTTGGATCATCACTTGCAGCAAACATTAAATAGTTTTTCACTTCACAAGCCCAATGTGATACGCACAAGCATTCCGAAAAAGAGCACACGCAACACAAAATCGCCGTCTTTCAAGTGCCAAAAATAGCGTACAGTCAAACTTCAGTAACTCGATTTACTGATTGTCAGGAATTCGCGCTAAAGGGGCTTCGGAGTATTTTCTATTCTACCACTGTTCAGTTTTTGGAGACATCGAGTGGGGAGACTTCAAGCTAAAGGATTTTGCTTGCAGGCGCCGAATATAATCCAAATTCCGGATCGAAGAATGCGAAAAACTGAGGCTAGATCCAGAACACAAAAGATTGGGGCTAGCCCCCGAACCAGAACAGAAACACGGGAACTACAATTTCTTTGGGCGCGCAAAATGCTGGAAATTTGCGCGAACACTCCAAGAGCCAGCGAGCTCCGCGAAACGCACCGAAAACGGCCAAAAAGATGAATATGTGCAAAAATCTTTTGCATACGCTCAAGAACCCCATGAAAGCGGCGACGGCCAAGCCGAAGCCGCAGTCGCGGCCGGCGCCGACGTCGGCAGCATCAGGAGCCGCGAGAGCTGGGAGAGCCAAAAAGAAACTGAATAAACATTCTTCAGTGGGCGCGGGAGGGGACGGGAGGAGTGGGGGTTGGGGCACAAAGCTTTTTACGGACACTCGCGCTCAGACAACAACAACGCAGCGAAAATCAAACCAAGCGAACCCAAAACGACGACGAGAACGAGAACGAGAACTTCAGCCAGCCCTCTCCACCACCACCGCCTCCACACCCGCCCTCCGGAGAGCACCGCCCGGCGAGAGAGGCAAGTGCTGCGAGAGAGCTACTCAAGACCTGTGCTGTGCCCGGCTGTGTGTGCCAGACAGAGAGCGACGGCGAACAGAGGAAGACAGAGAGCGGGGACAAAGCAACAAAAAGCGTCGGCAAAAAGTTCGCAAAAAGCAACTTGGCGGTGGAGGCGTGTGTGGCTGTGTGTGTGCTGTATCTACATCTGTGCACACAGGCACTCGCCCGTGTGCATCTTGCCCGAGTGTGTGTACGTGTCGCGCGACTCACATGAGCCGCAGTCGACGCACGCGTCTCTGCGACTGCGGCCTTGCGTCGCGTGCCTTTGCAGCTGAGGTTGTGTTGCCCTTTTTCGGCCGCCCCCTCGGAGTGTTGGAGGGTTGGGGTGGGAAGGGGCCGAGTCTGGCCCGCAGGGGGGTTGGTTGAACCCTTCCCCAGAGCAGATCCCTCTGCTGGCCGGATGGCGTTGTGGTTTCTTTTGGCGGCAGCGCGTGAAAGTGTTACGATTTGGAAACTGGCCGAGCTTAGAAGTGGGTAAATCAGTCGCAGTCACCGGTCGCGAGCGCAGGAAGGGCTCGGCGCGCCAAAATTTAAAACAGGAATTCAAAGCACATAGGGACCCTTTTTCAAAATTTAATTTTGTTTTTATTGGTAATGACATCAAGACGGACTGGTATAGTCTAGTTCCTCGACCCGTTACCGTTACTCAGCTGACCAATTGAACTTGTTAACTAATGGTCCAGTTTACAACACTTTTGGCAATCCAATGGATATTGGCAAAGTAGAATAAAAAAATGTACACTTCAAAATGTGGGAGTCACAAACTTTTACGATTTGTGGGCCTTAGAGAAGGGCACTGGGCTATATTAAACAATTTAACTCTTATTCTTTCAAAACGGGGTCTCCAGATCGACAAATTCCGGTTCCCCAAACTGGCGCCACCTAACGCGAATAACTTTAATTTCTGAAAACTATTTAATGATCGTCCGATTTTAACATTATTTGGAGGGTAGATGGATTTAGTTAGTCTAAACAAAATCCCATTAAAATTTTTTCTTTTAATTGTGGGCGCTAGAAAATCTTTATTGTTTTCGTCAATGGGCGTAGCATATTTGGATAACCAACATGCGCTAGACCAGAACTTAGGGAATCGGAATCTAAATAATCTTAAAGGTTTTCATAAAGAAAAGTTTGGAAAATATATTTTTAAGTTAAATGTAGAATCATTTTTCGTCAAAACGTTTAATATGAGAACTTTTGTGTGTTGGTAGGGCGATCGTCACGACACTCCACCTCATCGTTTAATATCAAAAGTTTTAGTTTTGACGAAAGTGAAAATTCCACTAGTCTATGACTAGGATCCCCATAAGACTTCGACTTGGGAATTTAAAAAAACATAAAGACAACAGTTTTACTTTTGAAAAGAAACACAAAGTCTTGTTTGTGGCCTAAACTTTGAATGGGGTATCGAATTTAATCAAATGAGGTGGCATCGGACTCGTTTTTTCATAAAAAAAATCAGCAATTCCTATAAGCTGGCACCCGTTGGCCCTAACAGCTTTGCTTTTCTAAACGTTTACTTTTACACTTTTATTGCTCTTACTCCGGATCCATTTGACTTTTCAAAAGTCTTGGCATGCAATTATTTAATTTGATGCATTGCCTTTCGTTCGTTAGGATTGAACCATTATATAAGATTTTGAACTATGCCGCTATATGACCAATGTACATAGTAGTCGCCTTCACGGACTCCACACTGATTTTGGTCGATAATAAACTTGTATGGTTCCCTTTATACCTAATATGAATTTCTTTCGTCAAATTATTGTTGGATAGTTTTTTGGAACAGCTTCCTAATGCAATGAGAAACTTATCTAGTCCCAAAAACGAAAAAGGAATTCACCACGGTCAGAAACAATGGGACCTTTAAAAAAGTGTGAATGAGATTTTGGATTGTTTATCAATTCCAATCTACATGCCAAAAACTAAAACAATCGGACCATTCACTAAAAAGCTACTAGCCATTTAAGTTTTCCCTTCTAGGTGGAGCAGTTTGCGAGCCCTGAGAACTAGAGAGTTAAAATGTTTCATGAAGATTCTAGTACTGCCTATAAACATTTCGAAAACGATCTATGCAGTGATATGACCTTGTGAAGTGGTTTTGTAAGTCCGAGATTCGTTGGAGTTGAGAAAGTTCGTTCGTATTTACCACGTAGTGCTCTACTATTCAATGGAAACACAAGCCAAATCCTATATATAAACTTATCGCCATCGGCTGCGTTGGCTTAATCAGTTGCGTTGTTGTTGAGCCTGGGCAACGGGGGGCTACGTCCTATCCGGTACTATCAGTAGAAAAACAAAAGTGCTCAGTTATAAATATTATTAAAAACAAAATGATAAAGCGAATTGATCGCAACAAAGCAACAAATATCACCGAGCGAACGATGGCAGAGCTGAGCGGATAATTCGAGGTGGCCAGATCTTAAGAATGTTGAACAAATGCATCAGGTGCCGATGTCACTATGGTATATTTTAATTGAACTGGAAAACTTAAACAAATAACACGGCTTTCTGTGGCGCCTAATTTTCGTAGTCATCCCTTATCCGGGAACCCTTTCGATCAGCCATATTCTTCTTATTATCGTCAACCAGTTCGATTATGTTCTGTTGGTGCTTCATTATGCCTTGGACCTTTAGAGCGGTGTACTGAAGATTTAGGCTGTGGGGTTGTCTGAGGTCTGAAGAGCTGTCGACTTCGGTCATACCGGGAGACTTTCTTCCGCGACAGACGTGGAAGCTGGGCTTTCCGCAAAGGCTTAGGTCAGCAACGTGGGGATCCGTCCCGGCAGCCGATGGCGTCTTCGGCAAGTGGACTTTCTGCTGACAACCCTTGTGCGAGGAGCCGAAAATTTCAGACTTAGATTTACTCATTGTATTGTGTACTAAACCCGATTTTCAAGCAACTGAACAACAGACTCACTTGACAACTCGGGGTGCTAGAAAGTTGAATTTTTCAGAACAAACACAAAACACCGCTCGATTAGTCCGCCATGCGAGCCTCTTTTTTGATCAGCCGCAGACAGCCGTGGATGGGCCAGCTGCTCCTCATGGCCAGGAACAAGGCCCTCACCCTCCTGCTGAAGCTCTACAGGCGCACTCCCATCTTCAGACCGCGCCACCTGCCGGGAAGGAATCGGACTCAGAGCGATGATACGATCAATATCAGCCTTCCCTGTCGCATATCGGAAGGAACTCGGTTTTGGGCGGGTTTGTGCGACTGGATCTGTTGGGGGAGAGCACCCTCGAGGCGGACAGCGACGTGGAGTTCGTGGAGGATGAGGACGTTTTCTTGACCTGCAGAGCCTGCGGCGGCAGGGCAACTTTGAGATGGCTGTAATGGCTGGTGGACAACTGGAAGTGGACTCCGAGGAGGACGGGGAATACGACGACTACGACTACGACGACTACGACTGCGATGGATACGTGCAGTTCGTGGAGTACGAGGGGTGCGAGGGGAGGGTGATCGGTTGCGGGATCGGGATCGGATTGCGGAAGGCCTCGGGCAGGTGAGGGCTGCCACCTCGAAGGGCCTCCAGCCGGATTCCGGGTCCGAGGCCCGAGCGGCCAACGTCGCCATCTAAGCAAGTCCGCGACTGAAGCGCGGCAACGTCGCAGAGCAACAATAGACACTCTCGTTTGGCGCCAATACGAACGACAAAATGTAAAACACTAGAGCACTGCCGAGAGGGCACGTCAAGTGCAGAGAGAACCCATCCGAACCTGAATCGGCAGGGGGAGGGGCGGGATGGTCGGAGAGTGTGCACAAAAACATTTGCCGGCTGCTTAGTTTGTTTGCCGGTGCAAAAAGTCGACTGCGAGCGAACGAAAGCTTCCACTCGCCCTCCCATTTAGTTTCAGATTCACATTCGCATTTAGATTCCCATTCCGATTCCGATTTCGACCTCCGCCCCCCTGCACCTCGGTACCTCATCAGCCTCACCGTCGCCGCGTCACACACGGCGTATACACAATCCAAATAAAAGCCAACTCCAAGATAGTTGTTGCTCCGGCAACTGCGTGTTGTTTTTGCCGGCAGTGGAGGGCACCCTGCCAAATCACTGCGTTTTGCTGGCCTGCTCACGGAGCTGGCCAAGACCGAAGGTTCGAGTGTGTGCGGCGGCGAAAGCTCTCTGTTTGTGGCCGCCTCGCTGATAAGGCGCCTTTGCAGCTCCCCTCCGCCCTGGTGCACCCTAATCTTATCGCTGGCGAAAGGCGCACTCCACGGAACACCCTACTCCAGTGCGAACTCTGTTCGTCTTTTTGCCAAAGTAGTTAACTCAGATATTAGGTCACACAAAAAGCCGGTTTCTGTCGTATTCGGCTGTTCTTCTTGTCGACGCTGTTATCTTGTGTGGAGCTCGCATATGTGGGTGAGTGCTGCGCGTGTGTGCGCTGGCAAGCCGGTTTGGGGCGCTGCTGCTTTTTGCGACTTTGTCGACTTTGGCTATGTAAATTTCAGCCGGCCCGCTCACTGCGAAGCATATGCTCCAGAGCCAACAGAAAGAGCAACCAGAGAAATAGAACGCAAAAAGATGAATTGACTGGCAGAGCAGGCTGTGGGGTTTCCCTCGTGGCCTTCATCCAAATTAGCATTAGCAAAGACTTGTGTACCGGGGTAATCACATCTCCAATGGAGCGTTAAAATCACTCTTAGCAGCAATACAATTCTCTGCTGCTGAATTCTGCCACCAGATCAGCTAGGCTGCCTCAATGATATAAAAAAATTGCTGCACCCCAACACTAGCGATTACGAACCCATTACTTGTAGAGTGAAATGGAAGGGTAAGGGGTATCTTAGGGTATTATAACCCCTTTAATACCCGTTACTCGTAGAGTAAACGGTTATTGTGTTTGGGGGAAAGTGTGTAACAGAAAGAAGGAAGCTATTCCAACCCCAGAAAGTATATACATACACTGAGAAAACTAGAGATCTAAAAAACAAAGATCAAATCTGCTTGATCTGAGTATTTTTTCTTCTCACTTTTTCTAGTTCGAGTGCACTCGAAATCAAGAGTAAAGTGTGCTCGACTTGGTTTTCAAAAAGCATTTTTTTCTTGATATTGAGAAGCAGGAGTCTCGAAACCATTCCCAACTTCTTCTTGGTTGTAGAAAAAGTTAGAGAGATAGAAAATGAAAGAGACATTCTCTCTCGCGAAGCTTCCGAATACCCGTTACTCTTAGAGTAAAAGGATATATTGTATTCGAAGAAAGTTTGTTACAGGTAGTAGAAAGCGTATAAAGTATATATTCTTGATCAGAAACGCAAGCTATGTATGTTCGTCTGCCCGTATGAACGCTGAGATCTCGGAAACTATTAGAGCTGGAGTGCTGGGAGTTGTCATGCAGGTTCTTGGGCTTCCTGCGCAAGTTTATTTCAACAAGGTTCCACTTTCTCGCCCGTTAGGCCAAAACCTATCGCCACCGTTTTGATAATTTTGTAAAAGTGTAAACTGATATTTAATTTTATTGATTTTAATTCTGAGAATCATTCCAAAAGTTACGTAACTGAAAAGTTAGGACTAACTAAGTTAAACAGGCTTTGGCATGGTCAGTAGAACCGCGGCCTTCCGCTAGGTTTCGTAACGCTGGCATGTAGTTTACCATTTCACAAGAGAGAACGATGGCCTCGAATATCAAATACCCGTTACTTAGTTAAAGGGAGTGCGACGGAGATGAAGACATGCTAGCGGCGAATCGTCTATTATGGAGATTGCACACCACGGCAATGCACCACCTACCGTCGTCTTCTTTATTCGCTTATAACTTTTTAGTGCATGGTCTGCTTTGATCTCTGCTTGTAGATTGATTATAATTAAAACAAAATCCCTCTTAAACTTTTACAAAAGAATGTGGGGGCTAAATAGACTATAGCGTTATGGGCGCAAGATTAGGCGTGGCTCTCCGCTAGATCCCCTAGATCCCCTCTTCAAGGTTTTATATTTTCCGAGATCTTGGTTAGATCGACTAGGCTAGCGGTCCTGGTCAAGAATATATAATTTATATGATCGGAAACGGAAATAAAAAACATTCCAACGGATACGATATTCACTTTAACTCTAAGCGGAAGTTATCTTCGGCAAGCAAGAAGTTTATATACCCCTTACAGGTAAAACCATATCCACCAAGAAACCGTTAACCAATATTTCCTATGTCATTATATGACATTATAGTCTCTAAAAATGATCTAAGACAGGAAGAATATATAATCAAAAACAATAAAGCTATACTTTTTTCACACCATTTTCATTTGATATAATCGTCCAATTAAAAAACAATCTAAAAATCCGTTTGGATCTACATATGTGTGTTTATAGACTTTGGAAAAGTTCTATCCTCATACAAAACTGAGACTAGGTTGCGTAGAAACGGACTGTCGGACGGATAGACAGTGTCCTTTTAAATGTCCTTTTAACAAAGACATAGTGTGTTAACACGGGTCTTTAAACATATTTTGTATGAAGTCGGTAAGTAGAAGGTATCTCATAGCCAAACTTGAAAACAGAAAGCTTAGAGGGGATTCATTTCAGGTGGTCCCCAGATCCGCCGGCAAAGAGCATCGATTAGCCGGCACAGAAATTGTATAGAGCCCGCGCAGGCACACATT